AGAGAGAGAGAGAGAGAGAGAGAGAGAGAGAGAGAGAGAGAGAGAGAGAGAGAGAGAGAGAGAGAGAGAGAGAGAGAGAGAGAGAAGAGGGTTTCTGATGCGAATGCTTGTATCCAGGGGCAGGAGTTGATACACCTGCTCTCCGCAATTGTTTTTGATATGAAATCTGAAGTCCTTTTATGGGCGAAACTCCAACAGGCCAACGAGTTAAGCTGAATGACGGTACAATTACAGAAATTCTAGCTGTTGTTAGCATGTCTGTCGGAAGCAGATTCAGTAAATATGTAATGTCAGCCACTCACGATAGTTACGGACACACACACACACACAAAAAAAAAAAAAAGGAGGCATTGTCATTGACAAGAATGTGTTTTCTGTTTTGCTTGCTTCCCTGTTTTCCTTGTTCACTTGGTGAAATTTTTGAGTACCTGCAGGCTCCACTGTGGATGGAGGACAAGCACAGTTAATGGAGGCGGCGTCGAGTGAATGCCCGTCGGATGACGACTTGAGAGAAGTGCTGAACCGCGTGATGTTAGGACATCTCTTGGATCGAGCGGACGGTCTGGATTCTGATGTGGAATGGGCCAGTGTGCTTTCTTTGGGAGAGCAGCAGCGACTGGCCTTTGCCCGTCTTCTCTTGTCCCCTGCACGATTGGTGCTTATGGACGAGTCCACAAGCGCCCTTGATGCTGACAATGAGGTGAGGGGCGGCGCTCTCTTCCATTTGGTTATCGGAAACTTCTCCGTCCCAAAACAGCCTCACCTCTCCATCGTTTGCCTGATACTTGCTCGCTATGTACGAATATGATCGGAATATCAGGTCATATACAGTCTATTTATCGTCCGCTGCATACGTATTTGTTGCGACTCTGGAGATTTCAACTTTCCTTTTCCAGGCTGCTTTGATCCTGTGCACTTTGCATGGGTCCTGGGGACCATCTCACGCAAGTGTGTACATGTCATGCATCGTACTCCCACACACAATGAACAGTAGTCTGACAATAGACAAAGATAGAGAAGATGAGGACCGAGTTTCACAGTTTATATTATCAGAAATATGAATACAAAGTGTTTCAAAGTTCCCCTAAGTCCAGCGCTCATCAGCGCAACACCAATATCTTGCCAACTCATCAATATGCCTTCCAGTGAATCAGTGCTACCCCTGCAGATAGTCTCCAAGTCATCAATGTGGTCACCACTCATCAGCGCCACCTCTGCAGGTCACATCCAACTCAGGTAAGTATCTTCCATAGCCAACCTTGAATGAACACTCTCAGCCTCAATCCCTTCCTCCTATGATGCATACACACTCTTCAATACTTATGAGGATCTACTCTGGATACTACTCATAGCTACATACTAACCCTCTACTACTAATGCTAACTCGCTGGGCAGCTATGGCTGCATCACTTCCAGCGTACAGGCATCTTCCTCCCTCCAGCGCGTCTTCTCCTCYWGYGYTGCTCCTCCTGACTCAGCGCACAAGTGCACCAGCACTTCCACGCATTGCAGCCAGTGGAGATCTGGCGAGGAATGAGGCAGGCAGCTCTTTTTATAGTGCTGGCCACTCCTCGCTGGGTCTGCATTGGCTCAATTCAGCCTCTCCCTTTGTCCCAGACCCTGCATTGCATGTGTCCCAGTACAGTCCCAATGAGATTCAACTGCTGCTGAGGCACTTCGGCCTGGATTTGGACTTGAAAGTCTGGATCTGGASTGACCCCTTGACTTAGACCAGAACTGGTACTGTGCCTACTGACTTCACTTTCGGACAGGCACAACTCTAAACGAACAGACACATTTACTACTTGAACAGGCACTTTCCATTGCACGAACAGGTACACTGCCTACACGTACAGACACACCCTTACTCGAACAGACATGACATACACATCTCCTGGTGAACAGGTAAGTCTTTTGACAATGCCCTTTGCCTTAGATTTAGATGTGCCTGTTGATAGAGAACTTGACTTTTGACCTGTTTTCACGTTTCTGAGCCCTGGCAAGATACCTTTTCACAATGCTTTACTTTTACAAGGCCTGTGCTGCTCTATTTTTACAAGGCCTGAGGCCTATATCGGGTAAAGGCCCTTTTAACTTCATGAAGCAAGACTCAAATTGGAGACAATTACATACACGGAGAAGAAGAATGAACAAAGGGAGAAAGAAGAATGAACAAGGAGAAGGAGACAGGATTAGACCAATGGCATCTAATGAACAAGGAGAAGGAGAAGGAGAAGGAAAAGCAGAAGCAGAAGCAGAAGCAGAAGCAGAAGAAGAAGAAGAAGAAGAAGAAGAAGAAGAAGAAGAAGAAGAAGAATCTTCCTCCTTTCCCCATCATTGTCACTTCTCACGTAGTCGCCTCGTCCTCTTATCCCCAGCGCTGAAGAAATTCCTAATGGCCTATGTGTCAAAAGACGGCCCAGATCTTCCGGCATCAAAAATGGAAGACCAGCCGCGCATCTGGGCCGTTTGGGCTCATGGACACCCCCAATATGCTGCTGGTCTTATGTTTTGGCGATCAGCTGTGCATCTGGGCTGTCGGCTGGCAAGCGGCCTAGATCACCCGCCAAATTTTGGACACAGGTGCGCAAACTTCAGACCTTGGGAAGGCCTACTGGCCCTCCCAATTTCTTTTTGGCACTGCTGGAGAACTTTGAAGCGGTCAGCTGGTCCCTCGCGGGCAAAGGCTAGGGCCTACAGGCCCTCGTTCTTTCTTCGGCAGTGCTGGCGCTGCCAGCAGTGTGTGTGTGTGTGTGTG